TATTCAAAAAATATTCTGCATTTCATATCGGTTGTCCTCAATGTTCACGTTTAAGAACAAAATGTTCAGATAAAAGTTGTATTTTCAAGACATGAGATGAGATTTGACAATAGCCACCGGAACACTACCAACTGTCTGACTTCGTCTTTCGCGAATCTGCCAGTATTTTGCTATCTTGGGAAATGATTATCATAACAATACTTTTATGCAAAGATAAGCAAAGAAAACACAGTGCGAATAATTGCAATCACAACTATGTGTTTTCTTTAGAACTGTGCATAATATTCGAAAAATGAATATTCAAAGATGTATTTTATGTCATACTGCAAATTTGCAGCCTTAATAACTCGGAAAAAACATTTGATCCTCACAATTGCAAGAAAAAATATAATTTAAGAAATTGAAGTTGAACGTACCTTCATATTCAAGGTCAAATCAAGACACCATATGTCAAATTAAATTTTATAAACGTTGTCTTAAATTTTGGATTAGAAATTTAAATATTAATATATATATATATATATATATATATACGTATATATCGTAACTTGATTCGATACTTGGATAACTCAATGACTGCGCAATTCGTATTACTGTGCGCTTTTTTATCTAAAATGATGAATAAATTATGTATATTTAAATACAAGCGCTGAATTTTAACCGCGATTCAATAATTTCAACGAGATTTTATTTTACAAAATCATTAATTATTCAAAAATGATTTTTGATATTAAAAATGTTTCAATACTTTTTTACTTAATTTGATACAAAATTAGCCGATTAATAAGTATTATATAATATTTATATAAATATTATATAAATATTTTTTTGGAAATATCTTTTACTTTATAATAAGTCTTAACTTCCAAAGTAATATTAAAATATTAACATACAAAATTAATATACTTTAGGTTTGGCAGAATGGTACGTGCCACAGGCTGGATTCTTTCTTTGGGTAAAACTCACTGCTATAGATGATGCACAGGATTTAGTGATGAACAAATTGTGCCCCAAGGTGTTTTCGCAGTTCCTGGAAATGCCTTTAATTTCGATTCTTCAAAACCTTCAAAACATTTGAGATTCAGCTTTAGCTATTCCTCGCCGGAGGAAATAGACAAGGTAAGTTTGGAATTTATTGATTTTGCCGCACACAAACGCATACATACACTTATACATATATATACATGCATACACGTGCAAGAACTAAATTTACATATATAATATAGAAATTATATTAAATTACAAATAATTGAATATTAAATTACAAGTATAGAGATTAATTTGTTTTTAAACATTAAACATATATGATTAATGTTATAAGGGAGCGTATATTCTTACTCGATTCTGCGACGATCATTTTACTGTACGTTACTAAACCGAATTAAATTTCGATCGTTAAAAATTCAAACAGTACATATAGTAGCATGAAATATATTTGATTATAAATATTGTTGAAATATTTTATTATAACATTCATATATATCATAATAATGTACATAATACATACATACGCGGAATATTAAATTGTTTAATTATTTCACAATAATCAAACGCACGGGGATGCATAATTATATTAATTATAATAATATACAAAATGATCGCATTTCTCATGATATTGTGCATAATAATATAATATATACCATATGGAGCGCAACTAAGTCTTTACCTTCCCGCTCTCGTTGTGCGAATGATGAGGCTGTGAAATGTAACGCGCCGATTATTTTACGTACATCTCATCACCGCGTAAAATATTTCGGCAACGAATATTATCAATAGCATGGTATATGGTCTTGATATTTTTGCAATACCGTTTTTTAGATTTTAGATATGGTGGACGCTAAAAGTCGCGTTTCGATCGAATCTTTACACCGAAAAATAGAGCCAAGAGGATACTCTTAATTTAAGAGATGATATTCTTAATTTATTCTTATTTTCAGAAAAAAATATACTAAAATTTAGAGAAATTTCTTAAATTAAGACGATCTTTTTGGCGCTAAGAATACAATTTTTTCGGTGTACAGTAGTCATTATTAAGGTTTATAATTACCATGGACGTTAATTATGAACCTTGTTTACTCAAAAATAATGTCACACATTATCTGAATAACGTTACGGTGAAAGATGCGCTGCGCAGTTTGTTTTTCGATCGAAATAACATGACTTTAGCGTTCACCGTAAAAGACGGTATTGCAAAAACTCTATTATTTGCGTGCTTCGGCTCTGTTATTATTCATGCGCCGAATAGGTAAGTAATGACGGAAGACGAGATTTTCTAAAAGCGATCGTGAATCAATATCGGAAATTATTGGTTGCGACAATATGCTTAATGAGTAATTAATATTAATATATAAAGTATTACACATATATTAATATATAATTTATATGATTAATATATATATAATTCTATCGGGACAATAAATCCCGAAACGCATTTTAATTTATTCATTTAATCATTACATTTATTCATTTATTCATTAAATAAGAATCAAAGTGACAGGTATCTAAATTAGAAATTATCACTCTCGCGGTCTTTCAGACAATATTATTTTAAGATTTATTTCAAATCATATATATTTTATCCGATGTCTTATCGTTAGACTTTTCGACGATCTAAATATAAGTCGAAATGAGAATATGCAGTAAAACGATCGAATCACAGAAATAAGGAAAAATTCCATGGTATATTCATCGTCTCATAAATAATTAATATATATTTTAAAATAATTATACAATTTAATATATCCGCGTATGTATATAGTATATGTATGTCATATAGTACAAAAATATTTTGACAGTATTTATTGTTAGAGTTAAATACTTAAAGTTAAATATGTACATATATGCATTTTATATTCGATGCTTTATCAATTTTTGACAATCCAAATATAGTTCTGATTGAGAATGTGCAATAAAATAATCAAAAACAAAATCGAGTATATAAAATAAGCTTTGTAATATGAAAAAAATCGTCTAATAAATATTTAATCTGTGTATATTTATATAATAATATTCTGCATATATGTATACTCATAATATACTCACAGAAAAAATAATGCATGAGAATAATATATCAATCGCGTTTAAACTTTAACACATTGATATTTTCTATCATTTTTCAGGGAATATCCTTAATGGCCAAGATAATACGTGAAGAAGCAGCGAAGAAAAAATGATGCTGTTGCAAAATAATGTCAAATGTATTATTATCACATATTAGTGAAAATGTTTATTTTTCTATTATAAGATTTTTTTTAACATTCAAAATAATAGCTGCTAACTTTATAATAATTTGCTGTGCAATTTTTATCTTATAATTTTTTTGATATTCTAAAATATATTGTCACAAAATATATCTCTGGAGAAGAAGCTGTCAATAAAATACATATTTGATTAAGAAAATAAAAAAAGAGAAGTGAAGATAATCACATTAAATATGTTGCAAATATCTTTATTTTTTATATATATATTACATTTTGCATACTTGTTGTATTGTTAAAATCAATAAGTAATTACGCACTTTTGAAACGTCAGATGCCATCTACACATCGAGAAGCTATGATCGGTAACAAATTTTTTTGTTTAATAACTTGCTTTGCTCGTACATACAAACAAGATATTCTATTAAACTATAATTTAAAGCATTAATTTATAAACTACCATCAAAATAAATAAAGAGCAAAATAAGTCAAATCAATATGAATGATAAAATCACAGAAATACAGTTTCTATTATAGAAACCTTTTTATTATATAAACCTTAATATCATATTGCAGATATATAATTCTCTAAAATGAAATATAATATATGTGGAATTAAATTACCATGCTCAAATTATCAAATAATATTCAAAGCTGTCGGTAACATCAGTATTCTCCAAGTAATTTTAGCCAGACCTGGAGGACTTTAACCCTCAGAACGTAATATCGATTTATGGTACCACCATGTAACTAACATTCAAAAATACACATCTCTTATTTCACTAAATAATTAATTCGTAGATAAAAATCGTTGGTCTTTTAATATTATTTTACTTTATTAAATTTTCCTAGATTCAAAATTAGAATTTCACTGCGCATTTTTCTCGTTGGAACTGGCAAAATTAATATGGCCATCGGACCTCATATTATCCTGAACGATTGACTCGAAAGATAAAACGTATCAGTTTATCAGCGATCCATAATACAAACATTGTAATTAGATTGACATCATTCGATATGATTCGATGATACAATTTATTACGCTAAAACAAATACCAATTTTATATATACATCAATCTCTTTTTATCTCCCCGTTTAAGATTCATGAATTATTTATTTTCATTTCATACGTATAAAGTTTTGACAGAGATTGAATGTAGAAAAAAATCAATATCCTTCTCGCACATTTTCTCCAGAGATACATTCAAATTTCATACAGTTCTATATTCTACATTAAAACTTGAAGCGACAGTTACAACGCTTTTAACATTAAATTCGCGTAAAATTGGAGCTGCATCGATTCTTAAACAAAGCAAGAGATCTTTCCACCCTTAGAAGAGTGCAATATCGATAGGAGATGTCGCTTCAGTCGAAGAACCTGTCAAAAATCTGACGTTTAATAAACACGTGAGTTTTTCCGATAATACAGATAAAGGAAAAAGCGCACTTTTAAAATAAGAGACGAAACTGGAGCAATTTTTATACCGCTAACTTCTTTTCTTTCCTCCCCAGCTTCCTCGTTTATCGAGAGATTCGCGTCGCAGAAGTCGGGCAAAAAAATCCATTACTTTAATCGAACAGATATAACGCGATATTAATTGAAGATCCCGATATAAACCGGCTATATTCGCTTCAATATTTGTTTTCACATCCCCGCAATAGCTACCCTTTCTCTCCCGAGGGTCAACGCGCACCAATCGGGTCTTCCCGAGGGCGACAAATTGCGAACTTACCCCCAAACCCTCTTATACCCCGGCGCGACACTTATAGAGAATTAATAGCGGCTTTTATTGCGAGTTCTCTCCGAAGTAAGCGGCGAAATTGCCAAAAAGTTTAAGTCGATCTATGACGACGACCGACGACCGACGACGACGACGACGAGGCAACGCAGGCGCAAACGTGCCGTTTCCATGGCGTCCTCGCTATACATGGTTAGGTAATGTTGGATTAGACACACTCTACGCCGAGCCTCTCCGGGGGTAAACGTTCAGTACACCCTAAACCATCGTCGCGGTTAGAGGAGCCTCTCGAACCTCTCGCGCACCCGCACGTGCATAAACGCATCAGCGGTGACCGAGGACCGCGAAGCGAAAATACACGCGTGGTTGTTCCATCCCTTCTGTTTACGGATCGCCGGCGCGATATCCGCTCTCGTTTGTTTATCCAATTTTGCTCCTCTATACACCGTCAAACATCCCCGTTCATTTGTACGATCGTGTCCGACTTGTGCGACACGTCGAATCGTCATCGGGTCGCGATCGCGTTTCGTCATTTCATCTTTTCGGGATATATATCCGCGTGATGATGATTCCGCGTCGATGATTTGCGTGCCTCGGAGTCACGCTCGCAAAATCCAGCCGGACTAAACTCAACTCTTGCCTTCCGCCAAGAGGGTGACCACCACCACCACCACCACCACCACCACCACTACTACTATCAGCGTAGACCTTAAAATCCAGGCTGCGTGAAGCGTAATCGAACATAGTGTCGTGGGAACGAAAGTGGCGGGTGGTGTGTTTACTGCGGTGGCGGCGAGGGTATTATCCTGACGGAACTAAAACTGGTCAGGTCAGTAACACGGGGTGAGTCGAGTTGCTTGGACTCTTCGTAATGCGTCCCTCGAATGTTTGTCATCTCGTCGATTTTTTCTTGAAGCGGAGCCAAAAGAATTCCCTTTACGAGACATATGTGCGTCTCTCGATTCTTCTTGAATAAATTGTTTGTTTTTTTTTTTTTTTTCAGGACAAAAGGAAATAATTCGGAATATTTCCTGCAGGAGAATGTAGCTACGGTATTTTAAGGAGATTTTATTTCCACGCATAGCATAAAAATTCCAATGTTGCTTATATAAATCGTGTTGTCATTCCTCACATTCTCTTGTCGAGTTTTAAACACAACGTTTCTCTCTCTTAATAGTTCTCTCCTGCAGAAGTATCTTGTGCAAAATTTTATAAGAGGTCTTTACAAATTGAAGAAAGTTGTTGGAAAATTGTAAATATACAATGCCTTTTCTTATTTTTATTTTATCATGCAGCTTATAAAATTATGTTTCCTTCTCTCTCCCGCATGAACAAAATCGAAACTTCACTTCTAATACTTATAACTTTATAGCACATTATAATAAATATAAGTATATAGTTATATATCGAATTATTATCTGATACGCTACAAAATACGCTATAAAATTGAATCAATTAAACTGACTAAATAAAATGTAATTATAAACATATATAATTTCATCTCGCAGATATACAAATATATATGTGCATCGATATATTGTTTTTTATTTGCATCCAGCGAGATCGATCAAAATTCCAGTTCCGACAATTCGCGAAGGCGCGAAGAAATAAACGCGGAGAACAATTACGAGGCCGCATAATATCAAGTAATGTATTTTAATGAACCAAGTTTCATCGCGAAGCGGCTTTTTCCTCACTCTAGATATTCACGTCGGTTCTCGCGGCCACATTTGCGGAACCGTTAGATTGATCGATACGCGGCGAGTTGCTATGACAAAAATAGGCAAATATTCGTAATGCGTTGCCGCATAGAGGGTAAATATGTTCGGCCGGTTGCATGCCGGTCGTATAAATAGAAAGCGTAGGCATATATATATATATATATATGTATATATATATATATGCATATATACATATGTGTGCGCGAATGGGGGTGCGCGTGACAGGGATGACAGCAGAGTCGCGCAGGCGCCTACCTGTAGAGAGAGACTCCGCGGAATACGTGATGATAAATACTAAATTTAACCCCCGGGTGAAACGTCAGGGTATCCGGATCGATAACACTTTTCTGGCGTCTCTCGTTCTTTTTCCATCGGCGAAACGTGACTTCGCGCATATGTAGGACGTTTATACATATAAATCGTTGACCACAGAGGTCGCGTGTCCTCTCCCTTTTCCGATATGGTACGTCCGATACGTATCACGTGTATAACCGAGGCTTCATTAAAATTCTACGGCGCTTAAAATTCCGCGTTTTCCGGGAGGCAAAAAATTTGCGCGAGACTATGGGACATCGGCGAAACGTAACCAACTGGCCAGGTGTATTCGTATAATAAAACACGAGCTTTGAATTCCAATGGAATTTTTAAATGCTAAAATATGTCAGTTTTCTTTAGCACTTTGGTGAAGTAAAATATATATCTTATACTAAATTAAAGCTTTATCGTTACCGCATCATAATCATCCCAGATAACACAGCTATTTGAAAAGAATTCATTTGTACGTCACCTTGTATGTCGCCAATTTTGAGTCACCAATTTTGTAAAATGAATTCCATATGTATTTGAAAAGGGACTCAAAATTTGTGACATACAAATGAATTCTTTTCGAATAGCTTGTGCTATCTGGGATAGTATCAGAATATCTAATACGAGTAAATAAAATACAATAAAATTAAACGCAAAGTATTTCACAATCGAGGATACATATACAATTTCAACTTTATATAATTATTAATTAATTAAATTAATTAAGTCAATTAGTTATAAGTATTTCGCACTATACTTAATGGTAAAAATATATTACAACTATTACTAAAATTATTAATAGCTGTTTAGCTAATATTATAATAATACACACATAAGTATTTTTATGTTAAATAATTAGAATTATGCAACGATATAAATGCACACATCATTAGAAGTTACTGCAATTTAATAGCTTTAAATTTCAACTTTATTTAATTTTGAAAAGAATAATCAACCTTTCACATATTGCCTATATCTATAAAATATAAATCTATATTATTAATTCTCGTTTATTCCACGTATCCACGTATGTTTTATACATTTCACGTATGAGAGATTATTAATTTCTACGTACGTAATTAAACAATGCACATCATCCACGAAAATTCGAAGCAGATAATCCATTTAAAGGTAGTAATATTTTGCTCACGAGGTAATATATTCAACCGAGAATGTAACACGCACATTATTCTATAATTCGAACATTATACAATAGGATATAAAGCAATCTTGTTTATTCAATGAATCAAAACAAAGAGAAGACGGAGTAGCCTAAGAAAAAAAAGATTGCACAATTTGCATTTAACGGAAAAAAAATACTATTTTAATTTATAAAAAGGCAATTTTATTTTTCAACGTATTGTGTATATTGTCAATTAAGAGACTGCGCTAAGCGCAACAGTTTGACATGTTTTTTTTAATTTGAACAAATCGAAAATAAAATGCGTGTAAACAAATGCATAACATTCCATTGAATATTGAATATGACAAAATGAATTTATTTACACACAATTTTAAATTTGTATACACGTCAATTCAACACATCGCGCTAGATTCATAAAATGCAGATCAAAATAAATTGAGAGAGGTACAGTTATATATATATTAAATTTAACATATAAAGTAAAAAACTAAAATAATGAAAACCTTAACGTAGCGACGAAAAGCTAAAATAATATGATCTCATTAGTTCACAAGATAATAATACGAAAGTTCACAAACTTTTTATCACATCATTTACATCTAGAAGTGTTTTAATTAATCTTCACGAATTAAAAAAAAAAGAAAATTAGTAGATGTAAATATACATCTATTCTGATTCTCTTTTTTCACTTTTTTTTATTCGAAAGCAACTATGTTTGAGGTATATTTGTCTCGTCCTCGGTATTATTGTGAGATCCATCACCTTTTTCCTTATAAAATTTTTCGACCAACGTGTTACTCGTCGTCTTTAGATCATACGCTAATCCTAACCAGGCCATGATATCTATGAAGGTGCCTGCCACGTTGAAATGTTCCGAGCCTCTATAGTCCCACGGGAAGCAATGATGATAATTATGCCAACCCTCACCGAAAGTAAAGAAGGCTACATATTTATTCTGCATTGCCATAATATGCCTAAAACAAAAAGTAGAGAAAGAAGAAAATCTGTTTCATCTGACAAGTCGATTTGAGTCAACTTGAACAAATTTCTCTGAATCTCATGCAACAGATTATTTAAGCGAAATAATACACATTTTACTTCTATTGACTCTATTATAATACCTTCGCATAAAATTCCCTTTAGTAAATTTTATGCGGAGCCTTTAGTAAAAGTGTTCGATGATTAATGTGTATACTTTGTTTTGAAAAGTATATGGATTTAAGAAAATCTTAACTATTAGTAAAATCGTAAAAAATATTACTTCCTATTATGTCAATTTTCCTTTTACGAGATAAAATAAGTATCGATAGAAATTCTTTATAAGACATACATGTATAAAACATAAATTATGTCAGATAAAATCACAGAATGTGTTCTTTGTAAATATACATTTCAATAAATTTTCAAACTTTGTGTTAAAAAAATCTAAAGTATATCTTTAAAACGAGGTCTTTAAAATAAAATTTTAAATTTTAAAAGATTTGAGAAAGATTTAAGTTTTTAAATATCTAATATAAAAAATTATATAAAATTGTGCAAAACATAATACTGCATTTTTTTCTACGATAATGTCGATTATTCTTGTATTGCGAAAATTAAAATATCAAATAAAAAAAGATTTTAAGAGTATCTGTGTCTCTTATAAGGTCATTTGTTTCTTTGTTAAATTTTGTACTTTCTATTTATAATTCAGAACAATTCGAATGGTATGCTAGTTGATTTTAAGCGATTACGCAAACATATAAATTAAAGAAATTAATAATTAATATGTACTTGTCGTAAGGTTTCGTGCCCCATAAGTGAGCAAAACTGTTGACAGCAAAAGTAACGTTTATCGTAATCACCCAGCGAACCATTGTAGCACCTATGGATACCATCCAGCTTTCATTCCAGAAATATGCAGGTATCAGAGTCGGTAGAATAAAGGTTAGTGTTAGCATGATCGGCGAATAATATCTGCAACAAAAAGTAATTGTTTATTATTTAAGCTTATTATTAATGTAGAATTATTTTTCTCCTATAATCGAAAATCGATGACGCGACCTAAATCAAATTAAATTGCGAGATGAGACCCACATGTACTCAATTTGTTCTTTGATTCTTCATTAATATAAGCCTATTAACTTTAAATTATATATATAAAAATCTTCTCTTCTACTTTTCAAAAAAGTAATATGTATGTACATATTTAGAGATATTATATCTCTACGATTTGGGGAAACGTCGTCATTATTTAAATAATGTTAAACTCACTTATCGAAGAAACGTATGACAGGATCGGCAGCGATATCGCTCATATCTACATTTTTTCCATATTCTTTCACCGCCGGATGATGCTTCATCATTAACCAGCCAACATGCGAGAAAAAGAAGCCGCGATTAGCGTTATGCGGATCCGCGCATGTATCCGTGTATCTATGATGCGTTCGGTGAGTGCGAATCCATTTAAACATATGAATCTTCAAAATAACAAATTTTAGAAAATCATATTTCAAAATAGAACAAATTACATTAAACAATCTTACGAATTTTTATCGATCAATTATATATTCTGCAATATTTATCGCTAGGTTTATTCAGTACTACATCAATATATATTATGTTATATTAAATATTACAATAGTAAAAATATTTTTGAATCAAAAAATGTATGCAATAAATAAATTATTAAATAATCTAATTAACAGAAAAAATTTAGATTATGTAAAATTGTATATTATGCTGAATAAAAATATATAGACAATGCATACGTAAAAATATTACTATCACATTCCATTAATAAAATTAATCATTGTCTCGCTGTAAATATTGAAACTGACGTGCTAGTAAATAATCGCTTGTGATTAATGGTTGATACACACCACAAGAGAAAAATCTGAAAAGTTCGCAAGACTATATATATTAAACATATAAACATTGTACATTTTGCATCCTAACTAAAATTTGACGCAATTTTAAATTTTAATATAATTATTAAATTAATTGGATAATTATAAGTCTGTTTGTTTTATCTGAACAGATTACACTAATTTAAAGTTTATCTCTTTTCTTCCAATGCGGAGTAAAAAAGAGAAACTTTGAACTAGTGCAGCCAATTCAGCTAAAATAAACAGACCTAATATCGTAATTCTTTCATGATTTTACCTGTCCAGTTGTGCAAAAGAGACAAGCGAATATAATTTTGAGTGGCAGTTTAGCATTAAAACTTCTATGTGCCCATAGACGATGCATGCCTGACGTTATACCCAAACCAGCAGTCAACCCCAATGAGATTGCTTAATACGGGGAATAAAATGAAAAAGCAACATTAAATATTTTATTTTTATTATTTCAAGTACAATATACGATATAAAATTTCAATTAGTTAATTATGAAATGTTAACAAACGCTAAAGAAAAATTACATATTAAATTTCTTTTTATAATGTACGATAATCTTTATAAAAAAATTTCTCAAAAGTGTAAACATTAAGTATATTTTGAACTTGTAAGTGAATAAAAATTAGAAATTTTCATAAATAAAATTAAAAATATAAAAATAAAGAAAATAATTTTTGTCTTTGTTAAATTTTTATATTTGTATAGGTAAAGAAAAACGAGCAAATTTATTTGTTGAAATTATTTGACAAAATTGATTTCAAGTAGGGAGACCGGGGCGAAGTCGTCACTCTTTTTCAGTTTTGACTACCAAAAATACATTTGTTGTAGTCAAAATCACAACATGGCATATAATTCACTAAATTCTGTTGGTCACGTAGACATCATAAATAGCGTTTATTTAATATTAACAACGAATTTACATAACATACAGATTTCGAAATAAATATAATGACGACTTTACCCCGGTCTCCCCTATTGCAAAAAAACTGAAATGTATATATTTCTATATCATTTCCAGCGCATTTTTTATTATAAAACATGATTGTATATTATGAAAGACGATGCATAAAATTATATGAGAAACTAATTTTAATCAATACGTACCAAATATCCAGGTGTAAAGTTTCGCCTCATGATAGCGCGTGACAAGTAAATATATTGCAATAATATGGAGAACAGGGATACCAATGACATTATGCCAAATTAATGGTTGTACCGCCGGTATGTCCTCTTTCGGTGGTTGTTCTAGAATCGATTTTTTGCCATCTTTTTTTCCGGTTTTGTTAACTTTCGATCCTTCTTGTATTCCTCTTCGTAATATTCGGTTATCATTATAAATTGCTGAAATGAAACGCCCACAGCAATAGTGATACGTTTCTTTATTTTATGACGTTTGTTATCGCATATTTATTACACAATAATAATTCTAACAATGAAATTATTTACATTATTTCGAAAAATGTCTATAATAAATCATAATTTGCAATTAATTTGCTACATTCTCAACCGCATGAGCTTTTTAATCTTTTTAAAGATTAGCATTTCTAATTTTTATTTTTATTTAATTTCGATTTATTAATTCAAACAATGTTAATGACATTTTTTATTTTGAAATATTTTCACAGAAACTTCAATATAGGATATCTCTAGCTTTATAATAGCTCTATAAAACATTATAGCTTTATTTATTCATTTATTTTATATTGGTACACATGTTTTATATTCCATAATTATATATATATAATATATAAATACTTTAACTATATTATTAATAATATTTTAATAATATTAATTACGTTTTTATTTTAAAAATTTATAAAAAATTGGTATAAAATTTATTGGAGTGATGGAATATCAAGAATAATTATTATGGCATATAATTATTTGATTTTATAAATTAGATTAAAAACTTTCACATTGAAGAGTTAAGCATAAATTGTCATCAAATAAATATCAATGTTTATGATCTATGTTTTGCATATTACTGTATTACTGACCAAATTACACGAGCATGGTTCGTATCTGTTTCATTTATGATGCGATCTCACTTGTGATTAACAAACCGAGATGCTCGTTACATGTCGCGAGGAACAGCGTGATATATATAAAATAATTAACATATGCTTTAGATGAGTATGCTACACTTTTATTTAGTTATACGATAGACAAGCGAAATGAGTTTGCCAGATCGCGTGTACATTTATTGTTTTCCTTTGCCGCATCTCAGCGCTTGCAGAATGTTACTATGATCAATCTCTTAAAAATTAATAATCTTATTATATTATGCATGATGTTAAAATTATACAACATATAATAACAATTTTATTTTTTAATTTTAAATAAATATAGTTTTTTTAGAAAATATAACATACAATTGAAAATATTAAATTTAAAGATACAATATAAAAATAAAAAAATTTACAATTATTATTTTTTTTTATTCAAAAGGATTCATATAAAAGCCTCGTTAACAGTTGTATTTTTATTTACATAATTAATAATAATTGAAAATAACGCGTACGATGGATTAATCTTTATGTTTCATCATAAGAGTACTTTATTACACCGTTAGACAATTTCTAACCGATGCGAACTTGACGTGCACGGTGAAAGTGCAACTGTCACGGTTATTCGTTCGCTCTTTCTTTGGTAACATATATTACATTTCACTGAACGCGCCGTGGTATAGAGATAAAAAAAGGAGTACTATAATAACATACTACGATGAATGCGCAGTCATTTATTACGTGACAAGAATTTCCTTTACCAAGTTAACTGCATAGCAAATGCAAAAATACACAACAAAAATGTTAGAAATCTCGTCAGACATGCTGATCATTTACCGTTATCTATGTTCTACGCATTTATAAATATTTATACATATAAGTTATTAGCTTTCATGAGCACGACATTTCCTATTAAATACATGTACATCAGTTTTAAAAAGAGTATAAAGTTATTTTTTATAATATTACTTCGAAAAGAATTATAGAAAGAGGAAACGTGGTTTATATATCAGAGAGATACAATTCTTGGCTATATATCAAAATGCTGGAAGTCAAGGAATGAAAAGGATTGTTGACACTGCTTTTTCCAATGTTCTATTTGGACTAAATTTTTGTACATAGTTTCAGTATCAAAATTTAACAATAGAACATACCTGAAGACAAATATATAATTCCGATCTTATATAAAGTATCTTTATTGGAACTGAATTATGACTTATGACATATTATATTCGAAATAATGTGTGAAAAAAGGAATAACAATATACTTACATTTTTTTACTTATAACTAAGACATTAATAAGGCTCTCAATGCGAAACAAATATTATTTCAATGAACGAGAATGAACCAGATGCGAATAACAATGCATTAATTTCAAGGAAAAATTAGTTTTCATTGAAACTGATTAGTTGTAAACAACGTACAAAGATTCCTTGATACCAAATAATTTAATAAATCTCAATTCAAAATTTTATTTTAAATAAATCTCTCTTTCTGTCTTAAAATCTCAATTCAAATTTTATTTTTAATAAATCCCTTTTTTTTTTTTGTCACCCTAAGAGTGTCTTCTTTTATTTAGCTAGAAAAAATATTGCCGCGAAATATTTATAAAGAATTACATCTCATCAACATTGTATAATTTGATCGCGTCTAGTTTTGCAAAACATGCGCCATACATAATTTAATAATTTAATTAGCATAAAATAGCCGCTAAAAATTATTCCGTTCATAAAGCACTGTTCTTTTTTTCGCTTATAAGGACACTTGTTACCTCGTTTGACAACTTATATTAATATAAATATAAAAAAAGAAGCAATACAACTTACAATAAACGATTTGATGTATGTAAATGTGCGTCTCGAGATGCTAAAAAAATCGAATTAGATGAAAATGAAAACCGATGTGCACTCCACTGCTTCGTATTCATTTCACTGGACTGAAATATAGGAAACCACGGTCTCTTATATAAAGAACTCCCCACTGCTAATGTAATTGAACTTACAAGATCAACTTAGATCAGAGAGGTGGATTATGATTCGCGGAGCAGTCATTTAGTTTCGTATCATAACGTATTAGCACCTTTCACTAAAACTTTCGTTTTTGTATTCGATTTGGTATATTTCCTCAGTTTCTATGAACATTTTCACATTTTATCGTGACGTCTGATCTCTAATGACGTTGATATATGTTTTCTATAAATTGCGTATATCAATATATCGTATCTAACAAAAAGTTCTATAAAACGATGCAACAATAGTCTACCTCGTACGATTCACAATGAGGCAATTGAAATAGAACGTGATCAAGAATTTCTGTATGAAGTAAAGAAAAACAATATATGTATCCAAGTTTTCTTTCGATTTTAAATTAATTTTTAAAATACCAGTGGAAAATGTTAATAACTAAATATAATATGTACTAAAATGTTTTTATTATTCTTAACTAAATACAAACTATATACCTTTTTTCTACCAAACAACTTTGTTTGAACAACTTGATTGATATGACCGATTTTCTCGAAATTGGTGTCAAAATTTTGCAAATTTTCGGAATAGAATACTATGTAATTTCTTTTTTATTTTAGAGAAAACTCTGTTTTTGTAAAAAAAAATTTTATTGGATTTCTTTGTCCGTGTGCTAAAACATTCCAAAACATCGAAATAAAGGATGTTTGGTATTGAGTTTAGCGATGATCGGTGAAAAATTTCGATTTTTATACAACTTAGAGTAATGGTAAATTAATCCCAGTAAAATCTCAAAATGAGCACAGGCACGGTTCCGAAGATACAAAAGGGTAAAAATAATGATTTTCCAATCAAGGACGAGGAACTATAACTTTCACTTCTTCATATTTCCAGAATGGTGGCCTATGCTAACCATGAAACTTCTCTGGGATTGTCTCATCATATAGTCGACATAAAAAACGTTTAAAATTTGAGGTCCTTCGACTCTATAAAATAGGCAAACAGGTTCCTTACGATCATTCTTTTTAAAAAATATGTATTATTAATTTTCGTATATACATTTTGAAATATATCAAGTTAAATGTACATGAATTTTATTCGAAAGCAACTATGAAGAATGTTTGTCTGGATCAGAGGCACGGTTCCGGAGATGCATAAGGGTAAAAATAATGATTTTCCAATCAAAATAAGAAACTATCACTTTCACTTTTTCATATTTCCGAAATGGTGGCCTATGCTAACGATGAAACTTCTCTGGGATTAATGTCTCATCATATAGTACTATTTGACATAAAAAACGTTTAAATTTGAGGTCCCAAAATTCGACTCTATAAAATAGCAAAAAAAACAGGTCTCCTTACGATCATTCTTTTTAAAAAATATGTATTTATTAATTTTCGTATATACATTTTAAAATATATCAAGTTAAATGTTTTTACATGAATTTTATTCGGAAGCAACTATGTTTGAAGGATGTTTGTCTGGATCATTTTATGAGGCACGGTTCCGGAGATGCATAAGGGTAAAAATAATGATTTTCCAATCAAAAATAAAAAACTATCACTTTCACTTCTTCATATTTCTAGAATGGTGGCCTATACTAACCATGAAACTTCTCTGGGATTAATGTCTCATCATATAGTACTACTTGACATAAAAAACGTTTAAAATTTGAGGTCCCAAAATTCGACTCTATAAAATAAGCAAAAAGACAGGTCTCCTTACAATCATTCTTTTTAAAAAATATGTATTTATTAATTTTCGTATATACATTTTGAAATATATCAAGCTAAATGTTTTTACATGAATTTTATTCGGAAGCAACTATGTTTGAGGGATGTTTGTCTAGATCATTTTATGAGGCACGGTTCCGGAGATGCAAAAGGGTAAAAATAATGATTTTCCAATCAAAAAGAGGAACTATCACTTTCACTTCTTCATATTTCCAGAATGGTGGCCTATGCTAACCGTGAAACTTCTCTGGGATTAATGTCTCATCATATAGTACTATTTGACATAAAAAACGTTTGAAATTTGAGGTCCCAAAATTTGACTCTATAAAATAAACAAAAAAACAGGTCTCCTTACGATCATTCTTTTGAAAAATATGTATTTATTAATTTTCGTATATACATTTTGAAATATCAAGTTAAATGTTTTTACATAAATTTTATTCGGAAGCAACTATGGTTGAGGGATGTTTGTTTGGATCATTTTATGAGATCCATCACCTTTTTCCTTATAAAATTTTTTAACCAACGCGGAGTTCGTCGTCTTTAGATCATACGCAAATCCTAACCAGGCCATGACATCTATGAAGGCGGCTCCCACGTTGAAATGTTCCGAGAGTTTATAGTCCCACGGGAAGCAATGATGATAATTGTGCCAACCCTCACCGAGAGTAAGGAAGGCTATAATTTTATTCTGCTTTGCCATAATATGTCTGAAACAATGTAGAAAAAGAAAGGAAATCTGTTTCATCTAACAAGTCGATTTGAGTCAACTTGAACAAACTTCTCTGAATCTCATACAAAAATTTAAAGTATTATATCTCTAAAACGAGGCCTTTAAAATAAGATTTGAAATTACTAATTAATAATAATAAACTTATTTTCCTTAAACAACATAAGATAAACTTTAATGGAATCTTAGCAAAATTTTAAATTTCGAAATTATTAATTAAAAGAAATTTTTTTATTAGACAACTTTATTAGACAAAATTTCAGGTAAATTCAAAGAGAATTGAGAACGATTTAAGAGTTTCTGAATATCCAATAAAAAATTATAAAAATGTGCAAAAAATAACACTGCATATTTCGATGATAAAATTGATTATTATTTTTGAATTGCAAAATATAAAATTAAATAAAAAAAGATTTTAAGACAAGTTGGTTACACCTAATATCTGACTCTTCTAAGCTCATTTCCTTCTTGAATTTTTATATACTTCCTACTTATACAATACTTAAGCACAATTCGAATGATATTCTAACTGATTTTAAGTGATTACGCAAACATATCAATTCAAGAAATTAATAATTAATATATACTTGTTGTAAGGTTTCGTGCCCCATAAGTGAGCAACACTGTTGACGGTAAAAACAATGTTTAACAAAAGCACCCAGCGGGTCATTGTACCAGTTAGGCATATTATCCACCTTTCGTTCCAGAAATATGCAGGTATCAGAGTCGGTAGAATAAAGGTTAGTGTTAGCATGATCGGCGGATAATATCTGCAACAAAACTTATTTGTTTATTATTTAAGCTTGTTATTTTATATAGAATTATATTATAATTAAGAATCAACGCAATGCTACCGCTAAATCAAATTAAATTGCGAGACATGTGCCCAATTTTGTCCTTTAATTCTTCTTTAAAATATACCTATTAATTTTAAATTATATATATATAAAATCTTTTACTTATCAATTTGGAGAAATGTCGTCATTATTTTAAATAATGTTAAACTCACTTATCGAAGAAACGTATGACAGGATCGGCCGCGATATCGCTCATATCTACATTTTTTCCATATTCTTTCACCGCCGGATGATGCTTCATCATTAACCAGCCAACATGCGAAAAAAAGAAGCCGCGATTAGCGTTATGCGGATCCGCGCATGTATCCGTGTATCTATGATGCGTTCGGTGAGTGCGAATCCATTTACTCATATGAATCTACAAAATAACAAATTCTAGAAAATCATATTTTAAAATCGAACAAATTACATTAAACAATCTTTATCGATTCATTATATATTCTGCAATATTTATCGCTAGGTTTACTCAATTACATCAATATTATGTTATATTAAATATTACAATAGTAAAAATATTTTTGAATAAAAAAAATGTATGCAATAAATAATTAAGTAATTTAATTAACAGGAGAAATTTAGATTATGTAAAAATGTATTATGCTGATTAAAAATACATAAACAACGTATCGTAAAAGTATATTATCTACTATTCAATTAATAATTAATTATAGTCTCGCTGCAAATATTTAAACTGACGTGCTAGTAAATAATCGCTTATGATTAGTAGGTAATACACACCACAAGAGAGAAATCCGAAAAGTTCGCAAGACTATATATACATATATGCATAAACTTATAAACACGGTAAATTTGCATGTCAATTAAAATTGCAGCGCAATTTTATATTTTAATGTAATTATTTCATTAATTGAATAATTATTAGTCTGATCATTTTATCTGAACTGACTACACTAGTTCAAAGTTTATCTCTTTCCTTCCTATGTAGAGTAAAAAAATAAACTGTGAACTAGTGCAGCCAATTTAGTTGTAATAAGCAGACCTTATCGTGACTCTTTTGTGATTTTACCTGTCCGGTTGTGCAAAAGAAACAAGCGAGCATAATTTTGAGTGGCAGTTTAGCATTATAACTTCTGTGTGCCCAATAACGATGAATGCCTGACGTTAGACCAAAACCACCACAAAATCCATATAAAAATCCTGAATACAGGGAATAAAATGAAAAAGCAACATTAAATATTTTATTTTTATCATTTCAAGCAAAATATACGATATAAAATTTCAATTAGCTAACAATGAAATGTTAGTGAACGCTAATGAAAAATTACATATCAGAAATCTTTCTATAATATAAGATAGTATTTATGAAGAAATTTCTGAAAAGTGTAACATTAAGTATGTTTTGAACTTATAAATAAACGAAAATAAGAAATTCTCAAATTTTTGTAAATATAATTAAAAATATGAAATAAAGTATATAATTTTCTTTCTTATTAAATTTTTGTGTTTATATAGGTAAAGCAAAACGAGCACAAAATTTATTTTAACATGAAGCTTATTTGTTAAAATTTGAAAGCATTTGACAAAATTGATTTCAAGTATTAGAAAAAAAAACTGACATGTATTTACTTCTCTATCAATTCTGGCGCATTGTCTACTATAAAACTTAATTGTATATTATGAGACGATACATAAAATTATATAAAGAAATAATTTTGATTTAATCAATACGTACCAAATATCCAGGTCCAAAGTTTTGCCCCGGGAGGGATTATGGCGTACGAGACGAATAAATAAAACGTAATAGCAAAGAGAACAGGGATTCCAATGACATTTTGCCAAATTAATGGTTGTACCGCGGGTTTGTGCTCTTTCGGCGGTTGATCTAGAATCGATTTCTTGCCATCTTTTGTTTCCGGTTCCGTTAACTTTTGATCCTTCGTGTATTCCTCTTCGTAATATTCGGTTATCATTGTAAATTGCTGAAATGAAACGTTCACAGTAATAGTGAAACGTTTCTTTATTTTATGGCGTCCGTTATCGCATATTTATTACACAATAATACTTCTAACAATGAAATTAATCACATTATTTTAAAGACGTCTATGATAAATCATAATTTGCAATCAATTTGCTACATTCTCATCCGCAGAAGTTATTTATTTTTTTTAAGATTAATTTTTAATTTTGAATTATTTAATTTTGATAAATTTAAATATTTGGTGACAATATTTTTTTTGAAATTTAATACACATATTTAATATCCTATATCCCTAGCTTATAAAAGTCCTATGAAACTTTATATATATTTGTAATTTATTTCATTTTACAAATTTTTTAATTTTATATAATTATATGTATAATATATACTACATATGTTAATGTGTGAGAAGGAAATGCATACATACATACATAAAATAAAAATAAGTGTTTGGTATATTAAAATATAATTACATATTTATTTAATAAATTTACAGAATGCTTCAACACAGTCAAGTCTAGACTTGCGTTTTAGATATACATTATTATGGCAAAAATTTTCAATTAAAAATAGATAAAATATTTTCATATTAGATGCAATGAAAAATAGAAAGTATGCGATTTTGAAAAAATATACGTCGTTTTTGATCTTCAATTCCGAGTATTTTAAGTACAAGAATCGAATTTTTGTATCTATTAAGCAATAATTATGCGAAAATCGCATTGTGCTGCGCGGAGAATGTTATTATGCTTTTTAATGCAATTGAAATCTGTTAATATTAGGTTGTGTTACTATACATAAACTATTAAAATTAATGCTTACAAACTGTTTTTGCTTCTTAAAACATAAAGTGCCTATCTCGAATTATGACATATCATATTTGAATTAATGTGTGAAAAAATTAAAAACAATATACTTACATTTTTTTACTTATAACTAAGACTTGAATAAATTTTTTCAATGGACGAGAATAAGCCAGATGCAAATGATACTGCGTCAATTTCAAGAAAAAATGAGTTTTTATTGAAATTGATTAGTTGTGCACAAAGAATAAAGATTCCTTGATACCAAATAATTGAATAAAAATTTTAATTCGAAATTTTATTTTGAATAAATCTCTTTCTATCATCCTCAAAACCTCAATTCGAATTTCATTCTAATAAATCCCTTTTTTGTCATCCTTAAGGGTGTACTTCTTTTATTTGGCTCGAAAATAATTGCCGCGAGATATGTATAAAAAATTACATCCCATCAACTTTGTATAATTTCGTCGCGTCTGGTTTTGCAAAACATGCGTCATACATAATTTAATAATTTAATTAGCATAAAATAGCCGCCAAAAATTATCCCGCCCATAAAGCACTGTTCTGTTTTTGCGCTGATAAGGACCCTTGTCGCCTCGTTTGATAATTATATTAATATAATTTAAAAAAAAAGAAGCTATACAACTACAATGAACGATTTGATGTAGCAAATGCGCGTCTCGAGATGTTAAAAGAATCGAAATTCAGATATAAATATAAAAACCGATATGCACTGCACTACTTCGTATATTCATTTAACTGAACAACAAGACGAGAGCACTCTTTATAAGGCGAATTCTTAATGCTCATGTATATGGTACTTATAAGAACGTGTGTAGTTCAGGAAAAACAGTATTGATTTTTATTCGTAGAGCAGTTTTCCATTGCAAATCATGATGCATCAGCACCTTTCGCTAAACTTTCACATTATTCTCAATGTTATCTCAGTTTTGATAAACATTCTAATATTATATAATTTCTATTAAAGATATCATCAGACAGCACCATGTACGAATTAGATAAAATGTAGCAATTAAACATCATTAATAAATCTTTTACACATCTTTAAGAAGTCTTATGATTTCTCAAATACATCTTAAAAGCATCTTAAAGATGTTTTATGGATGCATTTTGGACATGATATATGTATATCCTATCAATTACGTGTGTCAATATTATATCTAACAAGAAATGATATAAAACAATAGCTACTTCGTACGATTCATAAACAGGCAATTTAAATAAAATGTTATTATCTTTATGAATTTTTGTTTAAAGTAAAAAAACGATTTACGTATCCAAGTATCCTTTTGATTTTAAATATATCGTGTGAAAAATCGAAAAATATGTATAAATAAAATATCATGAAGAGTATGTTCTTATATATATTTTCTATGCTTGCTTTAAAATAATTGGAAATACTTTATACTTTATTTTAATTTTAAAAATGTTAGTAAAAAAATTTAATAAAAATCACAAGTTTTGTTAAATCATATTTTACATGCTCTCCCTCTCTCTCTCTCTCTCTCTCTCTCTATATATATAGATATATATATATATATATATAATACATCAAATATATTGTGTAATAAATTGTTAACATAAATATTTTTTGCAAAGCACTAATAAATAGAACGTGAAAATTAAAGACTCATGAACGCACATTATCATTAATCGTACAATTCCTTTCTCGGACGTGCAACCCTCATATGTAGTCATTGTCGCGAGATGATAGCTTTCCTTTTCTCGTTCCAGATTTCCGACGCTGCCTTGAATCGTGATATATGAGAACATTTACAGCGATATTAGAATGATCGATGCGAGTTGCACTATGACAAAAATAGACAAATCTTCATAATGCATATCCGCATAGAAGATAAATATACATTCGGCTCTTACATGCACTGGTTGTATGAATACATATATAGACATATAGGGTGTAAAAGGCTACATATAGACTCTCTCTGCACAGAATACATATGTATGTATGTATGTTGATGATGAATACTAAATTTAATCGTCGGATAAAATGACATCAAGCTCTAGCTGGATCGACAAACACTTTTCTGGTATCTCCCTTTCTTTTTTTTTTAGCAGAACGTGACTTTGTGTATGTAGAGTGTTTAGATAAATCATTGACCGCACAGTCGCATGGAGATGCGTTTTTTTTCCGTGTGGTACATCCGATACGTATCGTGCGTGACAGAGCCTTCGTTACATTTTTTCTGTGCTCAAAATCTATGCTATTCGGGGTGAAAATTTTGCGAAAACTTGCGTGTGAAATACGACAAAAGTTATTAACCATCCGGTGCATTTGTAGTTAATAGTAGGCATTTTTAAATGCCAACAGTGCCTAACATTAACCTAATATTATTTTTATTTTATTGCATTGTTTTTTATCATAAAAAAATAAAATACTTTTATATCTTTTAGTAATTAAACCTCCACAAAAATCGTTTTGTATAAACATATGGTAATCATAAAATATCATACCAAAAATTATTTGCACTGTGACAATTCAAGCAATATATAGAACATATTCTCTCTACTATGCAACAGATTATTTAAGCGGAACGACACATTCTATCTCTTTTATAATATGTATTCTCTGTATAAAATTGTTTTAACAAATTTATCTTTTCAATGATTGGCATGTATAATTTATATATTAAAAGAATCTAAGAAAATTTTCATAAAAATGTCTTACTTCTCTTATAATATCAATTTTTCTTTGATAACACAAAACGAATACTGATTGACATGTTTCGTAAAACATACGTACATAATTAAAATGCAATTTATGTCAAAAGAAATCGCAGAATTTCGTAAATATATGTTTCAGTTTTTACTGAAAATTATACAACTTTATGTGTTAAAAAAATCTGATTCATATAGCTTTATTAAATGAGAAGAATAAATTTGTTATCTCTTACTGCGTTTTTATTATAATTGCGAAAAAATGTTCTTAGAAAAAATTAAGCTCAGTTTATTATTGTTTACCACATTGGAGGTAAAAATTCAAGCTGAAAATTAATATTAAAGTCTGAAAAAATAATAATATTTGCACGCAATTAGTTTACTTTTGACCAGAAAAATAAAGTATGTTAAAGTAAAACAAATTACGCATTTTTAATTCAAAATTCTCTGCATATATTTTTCGTATATAGAATATGAAAAATTATCTTGACCTTTCTTTAAATGTAATTCTAAAATAACTTTCTCTTTACAAAAAATATGTTACAGCATTGATATACAGTATTTGTATTGATAATTATATAGCAAAACAATATTTGAAATTGCTAATTAACAATAAATTCATTTTGTTTAAAAATTTTAAAATAAATTTTACTTTAACAAAATTTTAAATAAACTACTCTGAAAGAATGTCAAAAGATTTAATTTCTTGATTTCCGACGCTGAATATTTAATATGAAAAGTTATTGTAAAAAAAAAAATAATGTTGAATCAAAATTTTAATTAAAAAAAAACTAAACACGCGTAATGGAATAGAGTTGAATTATTTTCCACTAAAATGTCTTATCGAAAAAAAACGTTTATAATCTTCTACGAAAGAAATGATGTTTCTATCTATACTTGAACACAATTCGAATGATATGGTTGTTGAGTTTAATTACGATCGCGCAAATATGAATCCGAGAGAATGATGTATACCTGCTATACGGTCGAGAACCCCATAAATGAGCAAAACTATTCACGGCGAAAGCTGCATTCAACATAATCAGATGGCGAAGAAGAGAACCGCCTATGGCTACTATCCAGGTTTCATTCCATAAATACACGGGTATCAAAGTCGGCACGACAAAGGTTAGCAACATCATAATCGGTGAATAATATCTGCAATACAAAACATTTGCATTTGTTCAATATTTATTATTGATTAATGTAGTCGAATATCTTCTTCTACGATCATAAATCAACGATGCGGCCGATATAAATCAAATGAAATTACGAGACATGTGCTCAATTCTGTCCTCTGTGATGAGATATCTCTCGCACGATTAATTCCATTTAATCTCTGTCACATTTCTAGCATCACTAACGCATCGCACGGACCATTCCTCATTATTAAACTATCATGCAAGCAATTAAATTCTAGCAATTCTTTTTCCTTGCGAATTTTCTGCAAAAATCGCGATTGGCTCTTTCATGTTTTTTAATATGCATAATATTTTTTCTATTTAATCATTTTTGATATCTTTTTTCACTTTCACATAAATAAACTTTCAGATAAATGCAGAGATAGAAAAGGAAGGAGAGAGAAAAAGATTCGTTAATATTATAATTATAGTGTTTGTACGAAAATATTATAAAAAAATAATACTTTTATTATAATATTTGTCAACATTCTTTTAAAAAAATACCAAATAATTTTATATATACATAAGAAATCTTGTTTTCTATTTTTCAAAAAATAGTATGTACATACTTAAAGAGATAATTAAGTAATATAGAGAATAAATAATAGAAAAAGGATGAGTAATTATCATTGATAGCTTTGTAAAATTAGATTTAACATGACAATTGACAAAATTGAAATTATTTGATATATTGTGGATCAATGAAATTTAATTTCTATATGTTGTCTCTAATTTTTCTCGCAATTCGGAAAAGTACTATGTTTAAAATATGCTCACTCACTTGTCGAAGAAACGGATGACAGGATTGACAGCAATATCACTCAGATTCACACTTTTCCCATATTCTTTCACCGCCGGATGGTGCTTCATCATTAACCAGCCAACATGCGAGAAAAAGAAGCCGCGACTAGCGTTATGTGGATTCGCGGTTGTATTCGTGTATTTATGATGCGTTTGGTGAACTCGAATCCATTTAGTCAAATAAATCTAGAAAATATGAAATAATGGATCATACATTTTTTTCATACATTAGAAGAAGAAAATGTCGAACTTGCAATCTTAAACCACGTTCACGTAGACGTCTTCTAATTGTTTGATCACTGATTCTGAGGGAGATCTTCATTAGCAATTTATCGCGCAATCATTGTTGGTGCGCGTCGGGTATCGCTAATACTGGTAATAATTACACAAAAATGCATAGATAACTTTGATATGCTGTAACTCTGCTAAAAAAAACGTATAAACTTTGCATTTTTTTTTTAATTTGTAAGAAAAAGTCCATATTTTACGAAAATTTGGATAAGAATTGTGAAAAAAATTTATTTCATCCTGTAAAGTTCGTCAAATATTGCAATTTTTGGAAAACAAACACCTTACTTTTTAAAGCAATGGAAAGAGGGGGAGAGGATGAAATCAAAATCAAACAAAAGTTTCTTAAAGTAGAGATTTTACCCTTTAAAACAAAACAAAATTTTTTTATATACGATAATTTTTCGCGGAGTATTTAAGTTTATGCGAAATTTTGATATTAATTGCGTGTAGCAATAATTATTTTGACCAGTATATATATATATATATATATATATATGTAGACAAAAGTATTCAAACGTTCAAAATATTATGTCCATCTTCAATTAATATTAATTAATTATTATCGCTGTAAATATTTAAACTGATCGGTACTGACTAACTGCATGTTAGTAAATAATCGCTTCTAATTAATATCACGATAAACACCACAAGCGAGAAATACGAAAAGTTCGCACAATCTGCATGCATAAATTTAAATTTAAAACTGCACATTGTATACCCTGCTTCAAATATTTGCTGTCAAAAAAATTAGTAAATTCTTAAAATAGCAATTTGCTACATACAGTTCCATTTAAATATGACTGTTTAATTTTAATGTGACGAATTTTAACGTGATTATTTTGATAAAATAATCACGTGAATTGATCGGATAATTTTACATCGGGAATTCACTTTTCTTACCTGTCCGGCCATGCAGTAAAAACAAGCAAGCATAATTTTGAGTGGCAGTTTGGCACTATAACTCCTATGTGCCCAAAAACGATGAGCGCCTGCCGTTACACCTAAACCACCAAGGACTCCATATACGAATCCTGAATACGAGAAATGAAATGAAAACGCAACATTAAATGTTGAATTTTTATCATTTTAAGCAAAATGTACGATATTAAATTTCAATTAGCTATGGCGCTGTAATGAAATAAGAAAGCGTCATACTTTTTATTCTTCATTATTTCAGCAAAATGTACGATGTTAATTCTGAATTAGTCAACTGCAAGCAATGTAAAGACTGAAAAACTGTGCGTGTTAAATTTCTTGCTAAGTAAACAAAAATAAGAAATTTTGTACATTAAGTTGAAAATATGAAAATAAAGAATATCTAATTTTTCTAAAACTTTAGTAAAACTTTCAATGTGGTTCGAAAGAACCACACGCGAATGCTTTAGCATATATCAGATTTAATTCAGATAAAAAACTGATTTTCAATGAAACTGATTAGTCGTGCATAGGACACAATTTTTTTTTGGTACGATACCAAGTAATTCAATAAATCTCAATTCGAGATTTTATTTTAATAAACTCTTCTGTCCCCGCGTTAAAAAGCACAGGCGAGAAAAATATCCGGGCGAAGCCGTTGAATCGGGAAATAATTTTATTCCCTATTGAATTTTCGTGTTTACGTGAGAAAGGAAACGAGCGCGGAGTTTATTTTAACACAAGGCTTACTTGTTGCAATTTGAAAGCCTTTGAAAAAATTGATTTCACAAGAAACTGCGATATTTCTCTATCAATTCCAACGCACATTGTATAAACTCGATATATGTACTATATTATCAAATAAAATTATATGAGATATGAAGTACTAATTTTTTATTTTATCAATACGTACCAAACATCCAGGTGTAAAGTTTCGCCTCGTGACACCGCGTGACAAATAAATAGATCGCAATGATATGGAGAATAGGGATACCAATAATGTTTTGCCAAATTAATGGTTGTACCGCCGGTATATGCTCTTTCGACGGTCGATCTATAATCGATTTTTTGCCATTCTTAACTAAATACAAACATTGAAAAATATAAAGAATGTAGACGTTTTTCATTCATTTATGACCTTGAATGATCTTTAATTATATCACGCTATGAATATCACGCTATCACACTATGAATAGAAAAATACAGCTTCTCATTTAAAAAAATTCAGATGACCTGGAGATATCCTCTATACCTCCAATCACAAACTAACTGCGTCATATTATACCCTTTTTTTACCAAACAACTTTTGTTTGAACAACTTGATTGATATGACCGATTTTCTTGAAATTGGTGTCAAAATTTTGCAAATTTTTCGGAATAGGATACTATGTAGTTTCTTTTTTATTTTAGAGAAAGCTCTGTTTTCGTGAAAAAGTTTTATTGGATTTCTTTGTCCGTGTGCTAAAACATTCCAAAACATCAAAATAAAAAATGTTTAGTTTTGAGTTTAGCGATGATCGGTGAAAAATTTCGATTTTTATAAAACTTAGAGTAATGGTAAATTTCGCCCATTTTTGAGACCTCGAATTTCAAACTTTTTTCATGGCAAATAGTACTATTAGATGAAATATTAATCTCAATAAAATTTCAAAATGAGCACAGGCACGGTTCCGGAAATACAAAAGGGTAAAATAATTATATATAATACAATATAAACTTCGGCTCGTATAAAATTAAAATATGTAATAAATTAAAAGGCCAACTTAACGAGCTAATAAGATGTTAATTAAATTTTTTTATTATATATCATAAAATAATATTACAAATGATAAACGTTTCGGCTGTACGACAGTCTTTTTCAATATCATTATCGCTATGTTAATAAGTCAAAGAATTAAATCGTTTAGTAAGACCGAACATATTATAAATATAAAATCTATCGGCTTATAATGTGAAAAACGCAGTAACAATTTTCTGCTTGTTGACTTGAGATAAATTGCCTACTCTCGAACATCAGATTTCTGTAGTTCATGATGTTATAGTATGTAATATGCTGTGAAACAATTGATGTGTCAGCCCGAATATTAAATATTAGAATTTTAAAAAATAGTGATTACTTACGTCTGTGTCGAGACGATAAAATTTTTCTTTTTAAATAACTTTGTCACAATGTGTACTTTTGCGAAGCTAATCAATATCTGTAAATCGCAATGTCAGAGCGCTGTATATATACCTCTATGCTATGATGACATAGACAATTTTTCTAAAATATCAAAATAAGAACCGTCAAGACGCTCGGTGTTCTTTTTTAAGTTGATATTGTAAAAATAATGATTTTCCAATCAAAGATGAGGAACTATCACTTTCACTTATTCATATTTCCGGAATGGTGGCTAACCATGAAACTTCTCTGGGATTAATGTCTCATTATATAGTACTATTTGACATAAAAAACGTTTGAAATTTGAGGTCCCAAAATTCGACTCTATAAAATAAACAAAAAACAGGTCTCCTTACGATCATTCTTTTTAAAAAATATGTATTTATTAATTTTCGTATATACATTTTGAAATATCAAGTTACATGTTTGTACATGAATTTTATTCGGAAGCAACTATGTTTGAGGGATGTTTGTCTGGATCATTTTATGAGATCCATCACCTTTTTCCTTATAAAATTTTTCGACCAACGCGGAGTTCGTCGTCTTTAGATCATACGCAAATCCTAACCAGGCCATGACATCTATGAAGGCAGCTCCCGCGTTGAAATGTTCCGAGAGTTTATAATCCCACGGGAAGCAATGATGATAATTGTGCCAACCCTCACCGAGAGTAAGGAAGGCTATAATTTTATTCTGCTTTGCCATAATATGTCTGAAACAATGTAGAAAAAGAAGAAAATCTGTTTCATCTAACAAGTCGATTTGAGTCAACTTGAACAAACTTCTCTGAATCTCATACAAAAATTTAAAGTATTATATCTCTAAAACGAGGCCTTTAAAATAAGATTTGAAATTACTAATTAATAATAATAAATTTATTTTCCTTAAACAATATAAAATAAACTTTAATGGAATCTTAGCAAATTTTAAATTTCGAAATTATTAATTAAAAGAAATTTTTTATTAGACAACTTTATTAGACAAAATTTCAGGTAAATTCAAAAAGAATTGAGAACGATTTAAGAGTTTCTGAATATCTAATTAAAAAATTATAAAAATGTGCAAAAAATAACACTGCATATTTCGATGATAAAATTGATTATTATTTTTGAATTGCAAAATATAAAATTAAATAAAAAAAGATTTTAAGACAAGTTGGTTACACCTAATATCTGACTCTTATAAGCTCATTTCCTTCTTGAATTTTTATACTTCCTACTTATACAATACTTAAGCACAATTCGAATGATATTCTAACTGATTTTAAGTGATTACGCAAACATATCAATTCAAGAAATTAATAATTAATATATACTTGTTGTAAGGTTTCGTGCCCCATAAGTGAGCAACACTGTTGACGGTAAAAACAATGTTTAACGTAACCACCCAGCGGGTCATTGTACCAGTTAGGCATATTATCCACCTTTCGTTCCAGAAATATGCAGGTATCAGAGTCGGTAGAATAAAGGTTAATGTTAGCATGATCGGCGGATAATATCTGCAACAAAACTTATTTGTTTATTATTTAAGCTTGTTATTTTATATAGAATTATATTATAATTAAGAATCAACGCAATGCTACCGCTAAATCAAATTAAATTGCGAGACATGTGCCCAATTTTGTCCTTTAATTCTTCTTTAAAAAATACCTATTAATTTTTAATTATATATATTATATATAAAATCTTTTACTTATCGATTTGGAGAAATGTCGTCATTATTTTAAATAATGTTAAACTCACTTATCGAAGAAACGTATGACAGGGTCGGCCGCGATATCGCTCATATCTACATTTTTTCCATACTCTTTCACCGCCGGATGATGCTTCATCATTAACCAGCCAACATGCGAGAAAAAGAAGCCGCGATTAGCGTTATGCGGATCCGCGCATGTATCCGTGTATCTATGATGCGTTCGGTGTATGCGAATCCATTTACTCATATGAATCTACAAAATAACATATTCTAAAAAATCATATTTTAAAATCGAACAAATTACACTAAACAATCTTTATCGATTCATTATATATTCTGCAATATTTATCGCTAGGTTTATTCAATATTACATCAATATTATGTTATATTAAATATTACAATAGTAAAAATATTTTTGAATCAAAAAATTGATGCAATAAATAATTAAGTAATTTAATTAACAGGAGAAATTTAGATTATGTAAAAATGTATTATGCTGATTAAAAATACATAAACAACGTATCGTAAAAGTATATTACCTACCATTCAATTAATAATTAATTATAGTCTCGCTGCAAATATTTAAACTGACGTGCTAGTAAATAATTGCTTATGATTAGTAGGTAATACACACCACAAGAGAGAAATCCGAAAAGTTCGCAAGACTATATATACATATATGCATAAACTTATAAACACGGTAAATTTTGCATGCCAATTAAAATTTGCAGCGCAATTTTATATTTTAATGTAATTATTTCATTAATTGAATAATTATTAGTCTGATCATTTTATCTGAACTGACTACACTAGTTCAAAGTTTATCTCTTTTCTTCCTATGTAGAGTAAAAAAATAAACTGTGAACTAGTGCAGCCAATTTAGCTGTAATAAGCAGACCTTATCGTGACTTTTTTGTGATTTTACCTGTCCGGTTGTGCAAAAGAAACAAGCGAGCATAATTTTGAGTGGCAGTTTAGCATTATAACTTCTGTGTGCCCAATAACGATGAATGCCTGACGTTAGACCGAAACCACCACAAAATCCATATAAAAATCCTGAATACAGGGAATAAAATAAAAAGCAACATCAAATTTTTTATTTTTATCATTTCAAGCAAAATATACGATATAAAATTTCAATTAGCTAACAATGAAATGTTAGTGAACGCTAATGAAAATTACATATCAGAAATCTTTCTATAATATAAGATAGTCTTTATGAAGAAATTTCTGAAAAGTGTAACATTAAGTAAGTTTTGAACTTATAAATAAACGAAAATAAGAAATTTTCAGATTTTTGTAAATATAATTAAAAATATGGAAATAAAGAATATAATTTTCTTTTTTATTAAATTTTTGTGTTTATATAGGTAAAGCAAAACGAGCACAAAATTTATTTTAACATGAAGCTTATTTGTTAAAATTTGAAAGCATTTGACAAAATTGATTTCAAGTATTGGAAAAAAAACTGACATGTATTTACTTCTCTATCAATTCTGGCGCATTGTCTACTATAAAACTTAATTGTATATTATGAGACGATACATAAAATATATAAAGAAATAATTTTGATTTAATCAATACGTACCAAATATCCAGGTCCAAAGTTTTGCCCGGGAGGGATTATGGCGTACGAGACGAATAAATAAAACGTAATAGCAATAGAGAAATCTTTCCTCAATGGTAGAAGTCGACCAAATTGGCAATCATTTATTATAAATAATTAGTTAAACTACAATCGTTTCGGCTGTCATTGCAGCCCTTTTCCAGTAGATCTATAAACAGTTACATAAAAATAATTAAAATTTTAATACAAAATTAAAACGTTTTTATGTAACTGTTTATAGATCTATTACAAAAATACTGCAATGACAGCCGAAACGTTGTAGTTTAACTAATTATTTGATAATAATAATTTGCAATCAATTTGGTCGACTTCTACCATTGAGGAAAGATTTTTATTAATTAATACTGGTGAACCTTAAGGATTATTATTTGTTAAGAATTTAATTAGCGTAAAATACCCGCCAAAAATTATCCCGTTCACAAAGCACTGTTCTGTTTTCTGATTGTAAGAACTCTTGTCACCTCGTTTGACAATTTATATTAATATAATTATAAAAAAAGCTATACACTTACAATAAATAATTTGATGCAAATATGTGTCTCTAGATACTAAAAGAATCGAATCACATGAAACTAAAAATACTTCACTACTTCGCATTCATTTCACTGGACTGAAATTCATACAAAAGCACGGTTCTTATATAAGGAACTCCCAATCATATAATTACTTATAAGGTGCGACTTAGATTAGAGAGGTAAAAGGTGGATTGTGATTCGCAGAGAGGCATTTAGTTTCAGCTCATAACATACCAGTAGCTTTCGCTGAACTTTCGTTTTCGTCTTTGATTTCATCAGTTGATATATATTTCCTCAGTGTCTTGAACATTTTCACATTTTTCATGACATTTGATTTCTAATAATCAATATATGTATTCCATCAATCATGTGTATCAATATATCGTATCTAACAAAAAGTTCTATAAAACAATGCAACAATAGTCTAAGTCGTAAGATTTACAATGAGGCAATTTAAATAAAATGTGATCAAGAATTTATGTTTAAAGTAAAAAAAAAAACGATTTACGTATCCAAGTATCCTTTCGATTTTAAATACATCGTGCGAATTCAAATCGAAAAATATGTATAAAGATATCACGGAGAGTATATTCTTTTATTAAAAATATATTTACTAGAAAAATATTTAGAGAGTATATATTACTTACTTCCTAATATGCATTAAATTAACTTGAAAATATTTTATACTTTATTTTAATCTAAAGAAATAAAAAATAATAAAAAATCATAAATTTTGTTAAATCATAAGAAATAAAAAATTAATAAGAAATAAATTTTGTTTAAATCATATTTTATTTGCGGTCACTGATACATTATCAAATATATTTATATATACAGGTTAGGGATAAAAACATTTTAGTACATTTTGTATTTAGTCTTTCCTTCAACATGTTCTCCGTGTCCCTCATTAAAGATGCGTTCCGTTTCACGCATATGAGCGCATTTTCTGTAGTAAACGTGACGTGTACTATAGATAAATGCGCGCATATGCGTAACAAAATGCACCTTAAGACTACAACTTTACAATCTGCTCA